CACTATTCTCTTAAAGAGTGTGTCTAATCATAATGTATTTAGTGAATGATAATTACAGAAATTTTTGTTGGTAGAGGACCTTGTCAGTACCTTAGTTATTAAAACAAAGTGGCAACTGCCTCCTTTAACTAGGATTTAGGCTGTTTTCTGACAGTGATGCTTGCCATACCAGCATTTCTCATGTTTTAATGTGCACATGAATCTTGGTAAAATGCAGATTTTAATTCAGGAAATCTGGACCAGGGTCCACTGTTCTGTAGTATTAACATGCTCCCTGGTGATGATGGCTTAACCTATTAGTAGATAAAACTTGGCGTCGCAAAGTGCTAGGCAGTTTCCCTTAAGTACGTAATAACTGCCCATTTACCAGGGAAGAGACAGAAAGGTCTTGATCACTAAAAAAACTAAATAGCATCAGTTTGAGAGGAAGTGTATAAATGAAGCATATAAGTGAGAAATCTAATAGATAACAAAAAGAAAGAACAGGGTGACCCTCTCTATATTCCTACATCTATGTTATACTTCCTCCTGGCTCTTTGCCTAGATCATATAGTTCTAGAATTTTCTACTCTCATCTGTGAAAATCCTATTCAGTTAAAATATTTTCCAAGATTATCCCAACCCTAATATCCTAGGTTTCCCTGAAAGTTCACAGTACATCATGTTTATATTTAATTACATTTGTACTATATCATGTGCTCATTTATTCCTGTTAGTTTTGCCTATAGAAGTAGTAGGATAATTTCTAAAAAGTGAGGTCAGTTCTTATTTCTCTTATGTATCACTCATAGCTACCGGCACTGTGCTGGGCACAGAGTAGAGGTTAAGTAAACTTCACCTTCTCTTTAAATACATAGGTAAATAAATAAAATTTTATAATTTCCCCCAAATTAATAATTGAAATACTAAAATTAATAATCACTAACATTTTTACAATTTAAAATATACACTGTCTGTAAGAACATCTAGAAAATACTAAGAAGTAAAGGGAAACAAAATAACATTTTGGCCTATTTCCCTCAAGTCGTTTCTTATGTATGTGTAAGGGGTTGCTCCTAAAGTCATTCTTTCATGTAATATCCTAATTTTTCTCTTTGCATTGTATAAGCAATTTCTATAAGATTAAAAATTTTTTAATTTCATTTTTATTGTCTGTAAAATATTCTCAAGTATATCTATATTATCATTCCCTTATGATAACATTAAAGCTACTTATAAACTTTTGCTGTCATAAATAATGTCATGATAAATATCTCTTTACCTCTTTATCAGTAATTCTGGTTATTTCCCCAGAATTACTAGGGGAAATGGTCTAAAAATTTGTTCAGAAAGGATAATTGAGAGCACCAACTTTTATAGTCTTGAATCCAATCATCAGTTCCCCCTATACTACTTGAAAAACTTTAAGCAAGTTAGTTCTCTTCACATTTCAGTTTTATCATTTGTAAAATGAAGATAGTGAATTTTTCATAGGGCAGTAAACATTAGTTAAAAGTGCATATACATTGTACTTCATAAATTAGCCACTAGGTGGAAGTGGAAGATTATAATTCCAAAGCCAAGCAACTCCCTACTGCAGCAGAAGCAATTTCTCCAGCTGCACCACAGAACAATTTAATCACCATGTCTGGGGGTAGGATTCAATAATCGGCTTTAATGAGTCCTCCAAGTTATTCTCATGCACTTTAAAGCTTGAGGATCACTGATCTAACACATATCTACATTTTTCATTGGTTTGTTGCTTTGGCAGAGACAAAAAACAACTGAAATATAGTAACAACTGCAATTTACAGAGTATTGTTGACTGCTATTAACAGCTGTACTATCACATACAAACATACATACATACATATGGGGTATATCCTAATATTTGTAAAAATCTGCAAGATATTATTTTTATTTCCATTGTTTAAATGAGGAAACAACCTTCAATTGAATTAATATGCCCAATGTCATTTAGTCTGTATTCCAATTTAGGCCATGGATTTACCCACTAGACTATATAATACACTGCTACTCCAAAACAAAGACCTGGAAGGTCCATTAAAGAGAAATTATTCTAATCCATTAAAGAGAAATTATTCTATCTCACTGTTCTCAGGTCAAGAAGTATGTGCACGTCTACTTATGAGGTGCATACATCTGTATATTTGTGATTGTACAATTGAAACTAATGTTCATTTTTAATATCAAGTCACATAACACCATTAAAAATGACAATAGTAGGGCTGGGTTTGTGGCTCAGTGATAAAGCATTTGCCTAGCACTTGTGAGGCCCTGGATTCAATTCTCAGCACTACATATAAAGAAATAAAATAAAGTTCTATCGATAACTAATTTTTTAAAAAAATAACAACAGTCTTAAACTGAAAACTGGGTGTTTGACTTGGCACAAAGAAGCATTACTCTAATTGCTAATTCATTTTTTTTTTAATCTGGCTGGTGTTGAGAATGCTCATTGGACAAACGGCTTACTTATAAAGACCTATGCAGATGGGAAAAAAAAAAATTCTTACCAAAGGTACCTACTTTTGCCTGTCTTTTAAAAATATCATCCATTTAATTCAAATTTTAAAAGAGCATATAGAAGCTGGGCATGGGGTGCATGCATGTAATCCCAGCTACTCAGGAGGCTGAGGCAGGAGCATCACAAATTCGAGGCCAGCCTGGCAACTCAGAAAGACCCTTTCTCAAAATTTTAAATATTTTTTTTGAAAGGTGGGGTGCAGAGAATGTAGCTCGGTGGTAGAGTGCCCCTGGGTGCAATCCCCAGTAAATGCAAAATCAATCAATCACAAAAAGTACACAAATGATGATAGACTTAAGGACAAGTAAGTGAATTGGGTGCATGAACCTCAAAATGCCACATGAGTTGCATGAAGATGTTACAGAAAACATGACTAAGAACCTCAGCTGATGTTTGTTAAAATATAGGTGAGTAAAAAAATAAAGTATAGGAGAGTGATTGAGAATTATCATTATCATTTACTAGACAAGTGAACAAGTCAAACTGCTACTTACCCACTGAGTTAGCTTTCTCCTTTACAATATGAAAGTAATACCCCAAAACTTATTATAAGGATTAAGTGAGATGACATATATAAATTATTTGGCATGTGAAGAATGCAATGTTCTATATCATCATTAAATCAGATAGATCATAATTAGGTATTATGTTAATTCAAACCCTGCAGATATCAATTGTGAGATAAATTTAAAGGTATAAGAGATCTTTTAGGAAAATATCTGTCAGGGAAAATGGGGAGGCATCATTAACCCTCATTTAGGAGTCATCAGCTACTCTGGATTTTTATTGAATGAGTAAATATTTATAAGGAACTTAGACTGACACTTAATGCTAAATTGTTATTAACTTGGTGATCTTAGAATTTAACTGAACTCCTGGGGCTGGGGCTGGGGCTCAGCGGTAGTGCACTTTCCGGGCATGTGTGAAGTACTCTCAGCACTGCATATAAATAAATAAAATAAAGGTCTATCAACAACTAAAATTTTTTTTTTAATTTATCTGAACTTCTGAAAGAAAGAAGACTTGCAGGATTCTAAATTTGCCATCCATTTCCATCTAGCATTTAATAAGGTAAAAATGCTAGAATAGGATCATTTATACAAGAATTGACAATGTAATAGCAAAATAATTTCCTATTGTGTACACAGAGAAACTACAGCAAAGATGAAGAGAGAGTAGAAGAACTTCTTAAAAGCAGTATTCCATAAATTCTCATAACATTTTGGAGTCTATTTCTTTGACTTTATCACCTTCTGCCAAATAATTATAATTCTTTATGTACATATACTGTCTCAACACATGTTCTTCATTCATTCAACAAATACATATTTAGAGCCCCTATGTACCAGACAAAGTTCTAGATGCTAGGAACATAAAAATGGGCAACATTAAACTGCCTGCCCTTGTGGAGATTACACTCTAATAGGGGGAAACAGACCAGAAACATGATAAATAGGTAAACTATATAAGTCTGCTTGAAGGTTATAAATATATGGGAATAATAAATCAAAATAAAAGAATGAGAGGTTTTTCCTAATTAAAATTTTAATTTTTTAAATAGGGTGGCTCTCACAGAGAACTGAGCAGAAATCTAGGGAGTGAGCAATAATGGTGACTCTCTTAAGCTTAATCACCATAGAACATTTTTGTGCAATAGGTTAATAGTCAAAAATGTTTACTAATTAAATGAAATCCAAAAACTTAGTTGCAACCACATTTTAGATCAATAAATAATGAATGTATCTTTAGTATATGAAAACTATTATTCCTACTGACAAACCATAGTCCCATCCTTATCCCTAAAGAAAAGCTAAATATCAATATAATCACAATAGAGGTTACCAAAACAACTATCATTATTTTTTAAAAGGAAATAGGGCTTGGGTTGTGGCTCAGTGGTAGAGTGCTTGCCTAGCATGGAGGCACTGGGTTCAATTCTCAGCACCACATATAAATAAATTAATCAATTAAGATCCATGGACAACTAAAAAAAGGAAACAGAAGACTGCCTCTTAGAGAAATTGACTTTTACTAATCACCCATCCACTACTTTAAATAAAGACTCAACATTTACTTTCCACCGAACCCTTAGATAGGTATAACATTTGGCCCTAGCTCTTGCCATAAAGTTTTATGTGCCATGAAGACCTTGCCTTTTTATTAATTGTAGGTGTAAAATCACAAAGCCACCTCAAATATGTACAAATATGAATTCAATGATTAATGCATCATTACATTGTACTTACACACTAATTGTTCATCAAGTTGTATTTAATTCACATAAGAAAGTTAACACAAATAAATTTTTTTAAATATTTATTTTTTAGGTGTAGATGGACACAACACAATGCCTTTATTTTTATGTGGTGCTGAGGATCGAACCTGGGTCCCACCCGTGCTAGGCGAGTGCTCTACCGCTGAGCCACAATCCCAGCCCCTAAATGTTTTCCAAATAAATTATTTCACACAGGTACATGCTTATGAATCTATTTAATTGTTCAAACTGTACTAGAGAATACATATTTTGGAATACATATTTCATTAAATTCAGTTGCAACACAGATGATTTCTAATGGGAATTTCTTACACTAGTCGGATTGTCAAAAAAATTTTCTTATCAACAAAAGAAAAATTGTTTTACCTCTTGCAAAGTCTATGTGTCATATCAGAACACATTTTTCTTTTCTTTTTTTGGTGGGACTGAGGTGGTACTGAGGGCCTCATGCATGACAGGCAAGCAGTCTGCCACTGAGTCTCATCCCCAGCCCTCAAAATATATTTTTCAACGATGCATTTAATTATATCACTTTTAGCAATCTTAGAGATAGCGTTTTATATTATTTTATAACTGGTTCTAAATAATTGGTTTTCCAATTATTTTTCTACTGAAGGCAATATAAATGACCTCTGTTTACACATGTATTTTCTCTACACAGTGAAACTTTTAAAAAAGAGAATAGGATGTGCAAAAGCTCTGACTCTCCAAGGCAAAGCAAAAACAAAACAAAAACAATGAAAGGCATTTAATTTATGCCTCTTGATTTTTTATTTTTAGTCTTCGAGTTTTATTTTCTCCCTTCATCTATTTTTTATCCTTTCAGAAAAATCATGATAATTGACTGATTTTAATACTTAGAGTTGAGAAGTAATTACCTAATAAAATAACAATGTTATTATTTCAGTTATTTTGAGGGAAAATTGGTTTACATCACCAAAAAAATCTTAATTTCAAATTTATTGCCAATAAATATACTAAATTTCTGGATCAAAATGGAGAGCCTCTCAAGAAAAGTTGTGCAGTCAACAATGACTTAAATTAGTCAGGATAACAGGAATCTGGAGTCAAAGCTGTTTGTACCATTTTGGTCTTACCACCATATGTAAGTGGGACCATAGCTGTATAGCACTTGTTTCTATCATAAGTGTAGCAGGTCTCTGTAGCACTGTCTTCTTCACAGATATTGCTCTGAGAGGCAGTAACCACCTGATTATCCAGCTCCACTTCTGTGGGATCACATTTTTTACAGCTGAAAAACAAATAGAAGTCCCCATTAAATGCTATCTCAAAATATGTATGACTATGCAGTTTTATTTCAAATCCATTAGTTGTTGCAGCTCTGACTTCTAATAAAGGATGACTTTTTTTCAGATCTAATCAGCTCTACAATACAGAATAGTATGAGATTTTTCAACCTTGATATACAAAAATTGGTTGAAAATAAACAATACATTTAGTTATATATACACCATACAGCAATTTTTACTATGTTAAACTTATTTGCAATTATATATTTATTTAGATGAATTATTAAGAGTGACAAGAATATTTTTTAAAAACTGTTTGATATTGGATTCTATCATTTCCAAAGAAACATCTGCATGTTAATAAGCTGAAATTCACTTCTTGAACTATTAGGTTACACTGGACATTCCTATATAAATGGAAATAATTTCTTCTTTAGAATAAATTTATAGGTACTTTTTATATGTGACAAAATTTTATGAAGTTATAGTATCTAATAATTAACACATGAATTAATGTATTCAAAAGTTCAGATTTTCAGAAACATATTAACAAGGTAAATTAAAAGTTATTAATTATGAAGGAAAATCTCTTACAGATCAGACAAATGGTACACAAATTTGGTTCTCAACGGTGAGGTAGGATCAGAGATATTCTCCCTGTTGTTGAAAGGAACACTGAAAAAATAAAGGAAAGAAAACAAATCAAAATAATGGAACACCAATATTGCTATTTATGGTAATAGGTATAATGCTAGAACAATACTTATCATGACTTTTAACCACTGTATGGTAATACTATCACTCAGGTTTTGACAATAATTTGCTGTATTTTAAATATTTCCCACTTAAAATAAGCCTCAAAGCAATTCTTCTGTCAACTCTCTTTGCTTACTTGGCAAAATCCTGCTTTTCCTTTAAAACTAAGCTCAAATTTTATTTTGATCTATTTCCCCTCAATACACTTCATTCCTTGTAGTCTCATTAAAGCGCCTATACATTTATTATAACAAATGACATATAGTCACTTGTCTATAGTTGCTTTCCTAGGCTGTTTAAGTTCTTAAGGCAAAAACACTTTTGTAATCCTGGTGCCTAACTTGATATCTGACGTGTGGAATATGTTCAATACTTGTTAAATGAATAGGCAGATATTATTATCCACATTTTAAAGATGTGAAAATTGTAAATGAGAGGGGTTAGTAACCTAACCAAATAACGTAGCAAAACTGAAACTTTTCCATGATGCTGTGCCAAAAAAAAACTTAAAGATTATCAACTAGTTCACATTATTTCATTAACTTTATTTTTTTAAATAACTATTAGATTTGAGTTTAATACCAGTTAGATTTTTAAAAAGAACAGCAAAGATAGAACAATCTCTACAAAGGAAAGAATTTCTGTCTGGCCTACAGCTATGTTTAAAATGCTGCAGGCCAAAGATGAGGGCTCTGTAGGATAAGTAAATATCACACTGCCAGCGGAGGTATTCAGATAAGTTACAAGCATTATGAAAGCAAATGTTTTCGACACAAGCATACCTAATACAATAATTTAAAAAAAAAAAAACAGACTTGAAACATTCCTATTTGAGGGTGCTCAAGAGGGCATGCAGGCGGGCTTTCCACTATCTAATGCCACCTCCTTTGTGACCCTCCACCTGCATTTCAAAGGTCATGAAAAGACCATGTAAAATCTAAGCATGTGTAGAGCCAATAGACTGTGGACTCTATTGTGTCAGTGACAGCCTCTACACAATCTCAGAACACCAGTCCTTTTCTCTCTTCTGAATAACTTTGGAATTTACAACTACCTCACCTCACCTAGTTACACACCCCAGTATGTGACTGAATTAAACCCAGACCAACCCTTACAACAGCAAAGACATTACTGTCTTCACGGTGAATATGCTAAGCTTTGAAGTACAAATTTTACTTCTACACCAGCCCCTATAAAGACATTCGGTGTTTGAAAAGAGTTTAAATGTGAAACACTGCATTTAGTTTTAGGAACTTGGCTATGAATGAGATCACTATTCATTTAGTAGTTCCCCAAATGAGTTAGAAGAATGTGTAAAAAGAAAGGAAGGTCCCTTGGAGACTTGAAATTCTGCAGTAGCACAATCCCATCTTCTTTGTTCAAGAAGACTGTAGTTCATTTTCAGAATTCACTCCAGAATCCAGTGATCTTGGGATGTCAGCAAACCCATCAGGGCAAGAGGTACGTGAAGCGGAACAGCACCACGTCCAGGAGCAAGAAGAGCCAGAGGTCCAGCCAGTACGAGTGCTTCCGCAGCCCATTGGTCCCCGCCTGCGGGTCCCCGGCCCGCGCCGACCCGGGCGGCGTTCGCCACGCGCACCTCCATCCTGCCGCGAGCTCAGGGACTCTCACTGCCTCGCGCCACCGCTCAGGAAGCAAGACGCGGGCGGAACCATTTCATTAACTTTAAAATGTTTCACCTACATCATTCCTCCTCATATGTACCCCATATGAGGGGTACCAAAAGAAACAAAAAATGTGTTTCCTAACTCAATATTTAGCAATACCATCCACATAGATATCCAAGTCAAAAACCTAGATACCGTCCCCAAATCCTCCTTCCTATCACAGACTACATCTAATCAATCTCACAGTCCAGTTGAATCTAATTTTTTTTTGCTTACGTGAAATCCATCCACTTGTCTCTTTTCTCATTATTACTGCCTTTGTTCAGGATACCACCATTGTCCTACATTGTACTAACACCCTTTTGTCTTGACCCTCCCAATACACTAGTCACATTATTGCCCAAATGGTCTTTCTAAAATAGAAGCCCAATTTTCTTCTCCGCCTAACCAATAATATCATCTCCAGGGATAACAGGGTATCATTAACATAGCATAGAAGGCATTTCAAAATATGCCCCTAACTCTCCAGCTTTATCTCTCTCAATGCCACCATGTCCCTCTACATGCCATCATCTATAAACAACTGCTTGCAATTCCATAAACTTAATATGGCTTTCTCATCTCCAAATCTTAACCAGTTAACCAAGAAACAAACACTAAGTACTTACAGTGTACCTGGTACTATACTAAACATATTACATGATAATCTCATATAATTCTCAAAGCAATCTGTTTCCTTTTCCTGGAATATTTTGCCCCAACTATCAACCCTCTCATTCCTCATATGTATTTAATCAGTCAACTACCATTCAGCTAATAACCATCAACCATCCCACCACTTACTACCAACACATTCTTCTGCCTCCCACTGTAGCTTCCTCCTGCCAAAGTGGACTGAACGCCTTTCTACAGGGCTCCTATAACATCATATGCCTATTCCTTTCATAGCATTTACAATAGTGTGTTGTAATTGCCTTTGGGGGGGGGCGGGGCAAGTAACCAAGGGACTGAACTCAGAGGCACTAAACCACTAAGCCACATCCCTATTCCTATTGTATTTTATCTAGAGACACCATCTCACTGAGTTGCTTAGAGCCTCACAGTTGCTGAGGCTGGCTTTGAACTCGCAATCCTCCTGTCTCAGTCTCCAGAGATGCTGGGATTACTGGCATGAGCCACCACGCCTGGCTGTAATTGCCTGTTTAAATCATTTATTTAAGGTTTCCCATTAGACTGCAAATTATTTGATAGAATGGATTAGTTTTATATAGATTGTTGTAACCCCAGCACCAACCCATATTATTTGGCATTCATGAAATAATTATTTGTTGAATGAATGAATGTATCTGTTCTTTATTAGATTACAGAGACTCTTATGATTTTAATAATGAGAAAAGCATGGTATAAATATTATGAGGGTCTACTCTGAGTTGAACACTGTCCTTTTACAAATTATTATATTTAATCCTCAGAATTCTATATATATGTATAACTAATTTGAGCCTGTTCCTAAACTGCAAAACAGGATAAATGTATATATAAATAATATATACACATACATGTATGTGTATAAATATACATACATAATTATTTTACAATTTAAGAAATAGGCTCAAATTAGTTAAGTTACTTCCCCCAAAGTCACATTATTGTAGTAAGTGATGGAGTTAGGAATAATGCCATATTTATACATCAATGGTAATATACTTTCAGAAATAAGATTAGGGAAAATCAATATACCTCAGGCAAAGATGCATGAAGTAACTGAATTACCTGATTTCAGTGAAAAATATGATAAAAAGAATAATGTTATAAAAAATGATGAATTAGAGAATCATGGAGAGTTATTTGAAAAATGTCTCTGATGGGTGTGGTGGCACCCTCCAATCCCAACTACTTGGAAGGCTAAAGAAGCAGGATCACAATTTTGAGGTCAGCCTGCACAACTTAGCAAGAATCTCTCTCAAAATAAAAAATAAAAAGGGCTGACATAGTTCAGTGATAGAGCCCTAGTATGGCAAAATAAATAAATAAATAGATAGATAGATAGATAGATAAATCTTCTTTTCCTTACACATAAGATTAATACTCTTCTTTAACATGGTTTAAATGTCAATGTCATGGATGCCATTCCTTTCAGTTACAAGCCTCTGCAATTGTTCCATCCCTAACAGAATAATGAGAGGGATCTAAGTGATCAAAGAAAACCTGGTATAAGAGGTAATGGCTAGGCCAGACATGGTGGTAGGTGTCTGTAATCCCAGCAACTTGGGAGGCTGAGGCAGAAAGATCAGGAGTTCAAAACCAGCCTTAGCAATTTAGTGAGGTCCTAAGCAACTCAGCAAGACCCTGTTTCTAAATAAAATACAAAAAGAACCGAGGATGTGGCTCAGTGATTAAGCATCCCTGGGTTTAATCTCTGGTACCGAAAAAAGAGAGAGAGAAGTGATAGCTAAACTAAGATAAACAGTGTAAAGAAGAGTTAACCAGACTGAAAGGGAGGGTAGAAAGAGTTTTTCAAACAGAGGAACCAGTAAGGTATAAAAAAAACAAGAGAAAAAAAGCTCTATGAATGTGAGGAAATAGAGACACTGAAGAACTGCTAGATTTTTTAACATAAAGTAAAAATGGCAATGAATGATCTTGAGAGTTATGCTAAGTTATGAGATTAAGCATAGGAATTTGAAATGTGCCCTAATAATAATAATGGAGAAACCATCAAAAGGGTTTTGAGCAGGACAGTGGCAATGATAACTGACACATAGGTTAGATAAATGAATAATAGCAAATATTTTTTAGTGTATGCCAGGAACTATATAAGCTCTAAAAGGAAAAAACTTCTCAATTTATTTTACGATAACACTATGAAGTAAGCACTATTTCCCCCTATTTAAAAATGAGAACACTAAAGCTTGGAGTGGACAAGCAGCTTGTTTATAAAAGCATGCAGTTATTACATGACCCAGCCAGCACTTGGAAAAAAAAAATTTAACACTGTATACTTTTCCCATGAATTGAATGGGATTGAACACTGTATTCTTTTTCTATCATAGGTATTTGATGTGGAGGTGGGGAGACTGTTAAGGAGTGTTTAATAAGGAAAACTTACTACTGACTGGATCTAATAGGAATCTCATTTCTCAAACATTTTTAGTATTCTTGATATTGAATACAAGCTACGTAACATATAACTCTGCAGTATGTGTAAGGTGAAATGTATACCTAAAGTCCACTCTACAATTGAAGACTGAATCAAATTAGATAATTTGACCACTCTGTTCATCTTAATACAGACATCTGAATAAATGTAAAATATCCAGCTGCCTATATATGGTATAAATAGGGCTTTTAATCTTAAGTTTCAGTTTGAACTGATCAAAGACAATTCAAAGTTCTGATTTAAACTGAAATACAGCGTATGTTAATAACTAAATCAGAACCTTTGGCTAGAATTTGATCTAACTGTTTTTTTGATTGTCTGGAACACTTTGTTCCTGCCCTCAGCTTCTACAAAACTGCCTTAAGCTCACTAACATGATTCGACCTCATGTAAGGTATTACAAGTCAAAAAAGAAGTAAAGATATAGATATTCATCTAAATAATGCTTAGTAACATAAAGTATCTCTGTGTACAACAGAGAAAAAAGCAAATATGGAGTGTCACGTACATAATTCGAATATTTCTCTCCACAATGTCCTCATTAGGATCTTCAGCAGAACGGATGATCCTGGTAGTAACACGGGCACATTTACATTTGTTGTCAGCAAGAACAGTCCTCTCTTCTTCATCTTGGGCTTGAAAGGTAAACACATTGTCAGAAAAATGGAAAACAAAAGTCTTTATATATAGCTTCTATTGAGTTCATTTATATTTCTTGCCTGCAAAAAAATTAACTTTATTGTTAATCAATCCCAGCATTTTCTACTTGCTGTCTTTCCTAATCTTAAACAGCTAAATTGAAGCTAGGTGTGGTAATCCTATAATCCCAGTGACTCAGTGGATCTCAGTGAGGCAGGAGGATTGCAAGTTCAAAGCCAGCCTCAACAACTTAGTGAGACCATAAGCAACTTAGAGAGACCCTGTGTCAAAATAAAAAGGTCCGGGGATGTGGCTTTGTGGTCAAGCACCCATGGGGTCAATCTGTAGTACCAAAACAATAAAATAGTTAAGTGGAATCTCACATCACAGTGAAAGAAATCCAAATGTACTCTAAAGGGAATTTTCTCTTTTATCCTTAGATCAATCTATGAGAACCTGAACTGAAAGAATTCCAGTTTTCATGTAATGCTTCTAATAGAAGCACAGGTCTTTGAATGACACAGCCTTATAAAAATCAGGGCTAATAGTTACAAAAAAAAACACAAACAAACAAAAATCTAGATTTTTCCCCAAAGTAATTCATTCAATGTAAACAAAAATAGCATTTGCCTTTTGAACCTTATTTAAAATATCACATCCTAAAAAAATAAACATATCCTTACCCTTCCTTCCTCAACTCAAAAAAAAATAGTTTGGGGGCTGGGGTTGTAACTCAGTGGTAGAACCATTGCCCAGCATGTGTGAAGCACAAGATTTGAGCCTCAGAAGAACATTTAAAAAAATAAAAACTCAGTCTTCATTATTTAAAAAAAAAAAAAGTTTTCTTTTTTTTTATTTGGTTGTTTTTTGCTTAAATTGCACTACAGGTAAGAACAGGCATGTTTTCTCCTAAGATAACCTTATTTCCTAAAACTTTTAAATATTCTCCACCATAATTTTCCTAAACTAATATATTCTGTTTACAATAATATCATGAAACAATGATTAAGTCAAATCAAATACATAAGGGCTATATTAGTATTTCTTGTATAAATTATTTTCAAGGATAGAAAATATTCTATGATATTATGATATTAAAGAAAATATTCTATAATATGAATATTCTATACATTTGAAAAAATAATTTAGAAAATATTATGAGGTACTAGCCATGCTGTGTAATATGGCAGTCTACAGGAAAAAATGAATTAATGAATTAATACACAAATGACCATTAAAAAAGTCCTTAACTCTTGAGTGTCAAAATATATTATATAAGCTAAATATCAGACAGAGAAGTCTGATGTTACAGAATAAACAAAGAAAATTTCTTATTTTCTGGATTTGGATCAATTAACAGATATTTAAAGAGTTAAGAATCAACAAGTACATGAAAAAATGCTCACCATCTCTAGCAGTCAGAGAAATTCAAATCAAAACCACCCTAAGATACCATCTCACTCCAGTAAGATTGGCAGCCATTATGAAGTCAAACAACAACAAGTGCTGGAGAGGATGTGGCGAAAAGGGTACTCTTGTACATTGCTGGTGGAACTGCAAACTGGTGCGGCCAATCTGGAAAGCAGTATGGAGATTCCTGGGAAAGCTGGGAATGGAACCACCATTTGACCCAGCTATTGCCCTTCTTGGACTTTTCCCTGAAGACCTTAAAAGAGCGTACTACAGGGATACTGCTACATCGATGTTCATAGCAGCACAATTCACAATTGCTAGACTGTGGAACCAACCCAGATGCCCTTCAATAGATGAATGGATAAAAAAAATGTGGCATTTATACACCATGGAGTATTACGCAGCACTAAAAAATGACAAAATCATAGAATTTGCAGGGAAATGGATGGCACTAGAGCAGATTATGCTTAGTGAAGCTAGCCAATCCCTAAAAAACAAATACCAAATGTCTTCTTTGATATAATGAGAGCAACTAAGAACAGAGCAGGGAGGAAGAGCAGGAAGAAAAGATTAACATTAAACAGATACATGAGGTGGGATGGAAAGGGAGAGAAAAGGGAAATTGCATGGTAATGGAGGGAGACCCTCATTGTTATACAAAATTACATATAAGAGGTTGTGAGGGGAATGGGAAAATAAACAAGGAGAGATATGAATTACAGTGGATGGGGTAGAGAGAGAAGATGGGAGGGGAGGGAGGGGGGATTGTAGAGGATAGGAAAGGTAGCAGAATACAACAGTTACTAATAGGGCATTATGTAAAAATGTGGATGTGTAACCGATGTGATTCTGCAATCTGTATTTGGGGTAAAATTGGGAGTTCATAACCAACTTGAATCTAATGTATGAAATATGATATGTCAAGAGCTTTATAATGTTTTGAACAACCAATAAAAAAAATTTAAAAAAAAAAAGAATATCATTAATTAATAGTGCTAACTTTAAAAATTGTTAAATATCAATTACATTCTTTTTTAATTATTTTTTTAGTTGTAGATGGATACAATATATTTATTTTATTATTTATTTTTATGTGGTGCCAGGGATCAAACCCAGCACTTCACGCATGCTAGGCAAATGCTCTACCACTGAGCCATAACCCCAGCCCCATCTTTATATTCTTATAATTTCAGCTAAGTGGCCTTTAAAAATTCCTCCCAGTATGCCTCAACTAAAAATATGCAAAGATTTAGCATATGAATTTTAAGTTATAAAGGCTATATGATTAGGATAGATATTATTATAACTGGAAGTCTAATTATTCCTGAAATGATTCCCAGAGCAAAGATCTAATTGCAACATTTCAATCATAATGATAACAGCTATTACAAAAGCATTTAAAGATCATTGTTATTTTCCTTATAATTGCTTGAAGTACTCTATAATGCATTATTATCCCATTATTCATAATATTTTAATAAATCTGTCCCAAGTCTGTATAGTATTGGAGAAGAAGCATTACAAAATCAATTCAAGATAGTAATACAAATCTTAATGTTCTGAAAAGAGTAAAATGATTCTTCCCTACTTCTGTATCCATAACTCTCAATTTTTTTTCAATTAAATATAAAAAAGCATGTAATGCCTGACTAAAAACATACATTGAGTCAAGTAAAAGGCTTGACTATTAAATATGAAATTTTAAATGTCCATATTCTATATGGCATGTAATTTATTTCCTTACCAGAAACCAAAGAAGAGATTATCATTACTGTTATTTTATAAAAATATTAGGCAGTCTAATAGATCTACCAGAAAAAGTATAGATACTTTCAATTCATCAACCCTTAGATTTTAACATTCTCTCACAGAAAGACAGTATTTTTCCTAATAAACCTGTTATTAGGGATTTGCCTTACTTTATTCTAAGAGGGCCTGAGAGACATAGTAAGTGCTCAATAAATAGTTAAGTTTAATTTAATTCAACTCAAACAAATAAGAAAATAACTATATAACAATGCATTGTAGATAGGACCACATGAGTTTACTAAAAGGTGGTTTCCCTTATGCATGCAGAATAGGGTAGTAGTTAGAAGCATGGACTATTGGGTCAGATTTTACCTATCACTTGCTGCTGTGTGACTCTGGGTTTAAGCTATTTCACTTAAGTTTCAATCGCTTCAACTATATGTTGGAACCTAGCCTCATATAGCTATTGTGGAAATCAAATGGAATGTGTAAAGCTGTTAGCATAATACAAAAACAGTATTCAATAAGTGATGCTCATTTTATATATAGCTACATATAGTTTCATATATATACTTATAAGGTATATAAACATGTTTATAAACATTTTACATGTTCATGTATATATATTATATATGCTTTATTACTAATATTTTATATTTTAAATATTATTTTATTTTAATGCCATTATTAAATACATATATATGTATACATATGTATATGTAAAATGGCTATTCTTAATTACATTTTGGTTATGCTCTGTCTAGAAATAAAAATAGGCTCAGTAAGTGTTAGAATTAAACTGGCCAAATTATGTCATTTCTAATTCATATGCCCTAGATGAAAACAACTTAACATAGTACTTCCATATCCAGAATCTGATAATTTTCTAAGTTGTTTGAAAAGTCGATAAACAAAATACTAGGAGTGCAGCCATCAAGATACCAACCTGTTTTAATGTTAAACATTGTTAAAGGATCATAATATATCTGTAGTCCAGATCTAGGAAAGTTGTTAGAACTAATACCATTCACTCTGAGTAAATAAAATCACAATGTATTCTACGTTGTGCTTATGGTAATTATTACTTCATTTCTCTAGAATATTAAGAGACAATAGGATGAATGATTTTTAAGATTCAGTATGGACATTCATATAAGTATGATATCTACAGTTAGCTAAAAAAAAATGTACATTCTTGTTCTAAAGATTGTAGTAGGCAAACAAGAGAAAAAAGAACAAGAAGAATCACACCAAGTCTCATCTGTATAAATATCACTACCCATATAAAGATTAAAGCATGTTAGAAGAAAGTAGCTGGTTATATGACCAACCAAAACATAAATATAAATCTTCAAATCTGAAAAACAGATGTATAGTATATTTTTCCTTTTAGCTGAGTTTATTATATAAATATTACATACCTGTCACAAGAACAGCCTTAACAAAAATGGCAAGAACTCCCCAGAAAAGCAAATGGTTCTTCATCTTGACTTCACTTCTTTTGCAAAAGTCGAACCAAAAAGTCAGGGTTAAGGTGTGTGTTCTCTAAAGAGTGTGCAAATGATGCTGCTTCTGCTTTCTTAAAATAACACACCCTGCAACTAACAAACTAAAAACAATCACCACTGCGGTTGAAGTCTGAACTTTAAATGCTCCAGTGGAAAGAAATGTATGATTCATATTAAAACATTTTCTTCTAAGGCATCCCCCCCAAAAAAAAAAAACATGATTTGATGCAATCATTTTTATTCTGCACTAATGCTATATAAATGTGTAAACCAAAAACAAATAATAATGTCAAGTTAGGAATCTATTAAAAATGATGTTCAAATAGGGGTCCTCAATTTTAGTATCTAGATACATTCATATTAATCTTCAAATCAAATATCTGACATTTGTTGTGGCTAGAACCATTAAATTAAGGGAAAGGAAGGAAAAAGGATGAAGCAAAGGAATAAATCAAAGTACTTTAATTACTCCATTCTATTAATGTCAATTTTTCCTACTAGTCTTTAACCAAGTTACCAGACTTAAATATCTATGTATATTTTCATATTACTTTCAGTTATTTTATAAGTCCAAACATGTAATTAGAAGGAGAAATTGATGGGCTAGGGCTGTGGCTCATTGGTAGAGTACTTGCTTAGCATGCACAAGGCACTGGGTTCAAGCCTCAGCACCACATAAAGATAAGTAAAATGACAATATTGTGTCCATATATAACTAAAAAATATATTTTAAAAAAGTAGAAGAAGTTGTTGAATACTGGATTAATCAATTGCCACATTTTAATTTAATAGCATTAAGGCAAACCTGTTTTCCCATCTAGTAACATCTTTCAAAATTGTAAGCTCATGAGATTTTTTTTTAATGAGATGCCTCAACAGAAAACTGAATTGTTGAAATATTTGCTTAAATTTTTTTCACTTAATTAGTGTTAAAAAAAGACCCTGAGCTTTGGGACAGAGCACCCCCTACCCCTACTTCAACATGCTAGAATTTCCTATGCCCTAGGACTGGTTCCAGTAATATATTGGTTACATTTATATGCAACAGCATCAAATCTGTCACTTTTGATTCCTGGGGTCTCCTAGAATTATAAGAGGTAGTAAGTAACACTTCGAGATCATAAGTAAGCAAAATGGAAGTCAGAAATGGAGAAGGAGAAATTAAAGGTTAGCATATACTTGCATTCCTTCAAAGAATGTATATTGAAAGTCTAGCAAGAACAAAGTGCCAGCCACTGGAACATACAATATTACTCTAACATCAAAATTTATTCTCATTTTATTTCTACTGTCAGTAGGACTTAGAAACTACTTAGGTTTAAGAAAAATATACTGAAATCACATGAACAATTTTCTGTATTATAAAAACAGAGCCAGTCATGGTGGCACATACCTATAATCCCAGATATTGGGTGGTAGTGGGGGAACAAGGCAGGAGCATCTCAAATTCAAGGCCAGTCTGGGCAACTAAGTAAGACTCTGGTCTCAAAATAAAAATTTTAAAAAGTGTTGGGAATGTAGCTCAGTGGTAGAGCATTGCCTAGCATGAATGAGGCCCTGGGCTCAATCCTCAGTGAGAGAGAGAGAGAGAGAGAGAGAGAGAGAGAAGAACAAATTCAAAAGCACATTATTACTTCAGTTTGTGGTCAGGATGTCAAAGAAATATAAATCACTCTAAGGGCTCCTTGCCCCTAACTATAGTTTCTAAATAACTGCTTTATTCTATAGTCAAAGAGAGAGAGAGAGAGAGAGAGAGAGAGAGAGAAAGAAAGAAACCAAACGTTAAATGCATACTTTTAAAAGTCATTAGTTCCTTGAAAATATATTCAATGCTTGACTTCCTCCCCAAATATCTGGGGACAAATTAAAGCTTCCCCCAAAGTTTTTTTTTTTTTAATAAAAGCAAAGATTATTTAATTCATAATTACTAACCTAAAGAAAAGCTCTAGGGCTGGGGTTGTGGCTCAGTGGTAGAGTACTTGAGTGGCATGTGCGAGGCTCTGGGTTCAATCCTCAGGACCACATTAAAAAATAATAATAATAAATAAAGGTATTGTGTCCAACTATAACTAAAAAATAAATAATTTTTTAAAAAAGAAGAGCTCTATATTTTGTGTTTCCATTCTTTTAATTTTACAGTTTTGTATTTCTATTATGTAAAATGTTTTTAAGATAAACTGTTTTAATAAAAGAAAGATGTGATAATTTTGTCACCAGAAGCGAGTGGCCTATGCAGGCAATATGGGGTCTAGAATCAGTGTTTTACCTCATGTGGTCTACAGATCTCCTGCCTAGAATCACTTAATGTACTTGTTAAAATATGGATTTCTTGGCTACTTACATAGTAAGAATTTCTGGAGATCTAGCCTTGGCGTATGTATTTTCAAAAAGCACCCCAGTTGATTCTAATGTACATTAAAGTTTGAAAACTGATGGACAGGAAGGCTGTGGAATAATGGGGAGTGACTAGTAGCTTTAACTATGAAAGAGCAAGGTGTTAATAAAGGTAACTTAAAAAAAAATAGGCTCATACTGAAGACAAATTAACTGAGATTTTTATTTACATTTACAATTCTGGAATATAGGTAATTTTTTCATATTCTTTTTTAGCATTAACTAAATAATTTATGTCCCAATTTAATTTTTTACATGTATAATATAAACATATATAATTGTTTCTAAATTATCAAGTTAAATTTCATATATATGCATTAGATCTCCTTAACCAATTTAATTTTTAAATCATTTCATCTCCAATATCAATTATGTTCTTGCCACTAAAAAATGCAAAATGTGAATAGTAGGACCCTTTACATTCAAGTGAATTATGTGAGAACTTAACTACATGTTCTAAATACATCACAAAAAAAAGGCTTATTTTTACATTCATATTTAAGATTCATGCAATAAGAGGCTTAGTGACAGACTCATCTAGAGAAGAGATGTCTTAAGGGTAATTTAGTTACTCCCACTCAAATTTTCTTTCAATTTCCAATATAACAGACATTTTGAGTTCAGAATTTGTTTGAAAACAAATAGCTGGATGCTTCACTCTGGACACAACTTACTATATTTTAGGATATACAAATCATAATAAGATTTTATTTTCTTGGGACACTGAGAACATACTCCCCTTGTTTTCCTCTTGTCTCATTGGTAACTCCTCAGTCTCTCGGTGAATCTTCATCTGAATATTGAGGGAACCAACAGTTAATTTTCTCTTTTTGCTCATCCTCTACCTAATTAATTTGATTTTATCCCATGGCTTTGAATATAGGATATGCTGAGGATTTTCAAATATATAATGCTAGCCTTGACTTTGCCCATGGAGCTTCAGATTCCTGTATCCAACTTTCTATTTAGTATCTCCATCTGATTATCTAATAAGTCTCTAAAACTTGATTAGGCAAAACAGTTCTCTTGATGACCAATTAACCCTCACAATACTATACCAATCTCTTTCTATCTCAAATCTTCCGCATCTCAGAAAATGGCACCTCCATCCCCCTGTTGCTCAAGCCAAAATTGTCTTCTTCAACTCCTTTCTTTTCCTTGCCCCTACATCCCAACTACCATGTTGGCTTTACCTCCAAATTACATTCCAAAATCACCTGATTATCTCCCTTTCATTACCACCCTAGTTTAAGCCATCATCCTCTGTCCCAAACTACTATAACAGCCTCTGTAATAAAAAGTAACTTTTCCTTTTCCCATGGTGGGACTAGACACACAGTAAATAAAAATGACTAAGTACCCCAAATTATAAAGTGAGCCAGACACTCCCTCCAAAAGAAGGAATAGAAAGAAGCAATAGAACTCAACTTCAATTTACTTCCATCAATCACCACCTCAGCACTCCCATACTCTCATCCTGTCATTAGAAAACTAGAGAGAAAAAAGGGAAGTTTCATCAGAAGCTGTTGGCCTTGTAAACAGAGACTCCCTCTCCAAAATCAGGTGAGAAAAGAGTTTAAGAAAATCACTCAGAGATATCAGTAATGCTGAAAGAAGGGGAAATTGAGACATTGTATAGCATAATAGCTAAGAGAAAGGACCTTGAGCCTGACTAATTGGGTTTATCTCCCAATGTGACCACTCTCTAGCTGTGTGACATCGGACAACCCTTAGAAAAATCACTTAACCTGAGTTCCCCTATCTGTAAAAGAGGAAAATAACAATACATACTTCATAGGATTTTGTGAGGGTTCATATGTATTACTACATGTGAAGAAGTTAGAACAGATCTCAACATACCATAAGTGCTATGAAAGGATGCACATCATCATCACAAACATCAACATCATCATCAAGTCTGCAACTTTTTGTTGAGTTGCAGAAAATACAAACTCACCTGTAGGTAACACCTGCAATGAAGCTTAGGAAAGCATTCCTGAAAGAGTTTAACATGTCTCATGGCCATGAGAACACGGTTGCAGACATGTAGGAATACAGAAATGGATATATGCTGATGCTACTTAAGGTATGAATGAAAATATTTATAGTATTTTTTTTAAACTTGGGGTGTGTGGAGAGGTAGAACACTTGGAAGAAATGTTAACTTTGTTTGAAATAGGCTAAAGCTGGAAACAATCTAAATGTCTAGAAACAAACTGGATAAACAAATTGTAACATATCCATAGATGAATCTCAAAATAATTATTCTGGGTGAAAGTAGCCAAACAAAAACTTGAAAAGATAGTATCTACTATATATAAAATAATACAAGCAAATCTACAATTGGCAGAAAGCAGGTTGCCAGGGAAGGTAGGGACACAGAGAGAAGGAAAGGAGGAATACAAAGGAAATGAACAAACTTTGGGGATGATGGATATGTTCACTACCATGGGGGTAATAAATTCATGGGTGTACACATGTCATAATTTATCAAATTATATAGTTCAAATATGTGCTTTTCATTGTATGTTAATTATAACACAATCAGGCTCTTAAAAAGTTCATATGTTCAGAATTCAATTTTTAAGTATGATAAGTTTCTCTTGATGCCCTTTATTAAGTTGAGGAAGTGTCCTTCTATTCCTAATTTGCTGAAAGCTTTTGTCAGAAATGGATATTGGATTTTATATTCTTTTCTCTGTTTATGAAAATAACCATATGA